ATAAAATTTTGCCTTTCTTTTTCACTTTTTTAGTAATATTTAAAAGACACTAATTATATAATTACTTATATTATTTAATATTAGCTTTACAAATTATGTAAAATCATTAGATTGTAGCTTAAAAAACTTTAATAATAAAGAAGTTATATTACTTAAACTTATTATTCTTTACTATTTGATTCTTTAAATAGTATTTTCAAGATTTTAAATAAAAAATATATGATTAATATATTTTAAATATAAAAAATTTCTAATTATTGGTATATTATATCTAATATATATAATATTATATTCAATTTATTTTATTATTTCTTAGAAAAATATTTTATAAGTAGAAATAAATTGTAAAGAATTAATAAAAATTTTATAATTATACTTAAAATGAAAATAAGTTTAAATATTATTAATAAATTTAATAAACATATTATATTTATCTATTATATATATTCTTATTTCTTGCTTTTCTTTATTCTTATTTTATTTGATGATAGCTTAAAATTTTTTGAATATATTTTTCTTTTAAATTATACTTAAATACTTTCTTTCTATAAGTATTATTTAACAACTTTTCACTTTTATACTTAAAATGATAAAGCTTCTTTAAATGATATAATGTTTTATATAATAAATTGTTATTAATATAGAATAAAACCTGATTTTTACTTTAAACTTAATAAGAATATTAATTAAAGATAAATTACCAATCTATTCTTTAAATTTAAAACTCAAAATATTTTTAATAAAAAGCATAATACCTTTATTACTTTTATTATTATTATTATTAACAGTATTATTAAGTAGTATAATTTTAGAAAACATAATTAAAGAATATAAAAATAAAAAAATAATATAATAATAATATTATAAATAATTATTATTAATTAATTGTATATAAATACAAAGAAAATACATTATGTATATTATATTAATTATATATTATATTCATAATTATATTTATTTATATATTAAAATCATATGAAAAAATAAAAGATCACCTAGGTAAGTAACAAATTTTTTCTTTTTAATTATATAAATTATTTTGTAATAAAAAAGAAAAAATTATAAAAAATTTTTAAGTTAATATTAAATCTGAATTTATTTAATTAAAAAAATTATATTTAACTTATAAAGTAAAAAATTTTTTTAGTAGTTTTTTTTTTCTATTATAAAACATCTATATAATAAAAAATTTAAAGTTAAAAGTTGTAATTTTTAAAAAATTAAAAATTGTTATTTATATATAGAATATTTAAATATTGTATAAAATATAAGAAGAATAATAAGTAATATATTTAATATAAAAATTTTTTAAGTTTTCAAATTAATTAATAAACAAAATATAATAAAAGTGATATAATATGATAAATTGTAATTTAATTTATATATTAATTAGTCTAGAGTGTAAATAAAGGATTATATATGTCTGTATCCAATATCTGTTTGTTCACTTATTCAAAATTTGTGTCAATACATAGTTGCTCTTTTTTATTATACTTATGTTTTGAACTTAACAATAGTTTCTGAAACTGTTTCCTAGTATTAAAATAATTTTAATATTATATTTATAACTCTATATAATAAATTTATATATATTATATAACTTATATTCATAAACTTTATATTTATTAAGAAATTTTTTAAAGATTTTATATTAATTTTTAACAATTTGATTAAAATTAACTTTTAAGAAAAATAATTTTAATTATTATACTTTTATAATTTATTAAGAAATTTTATAATTTTTATTAATAATAAATAATTTAATTAATTTATAAATACATAATTTTAAAAATTATAATTATTTTAAAAAAACTTTTTAATATTTTAAAATTGATAAATATATATTAAACTATATTTTTATATAATTTTTTTATTATTAAAATTATTATTTAATATTTTTAAGAAATTATTTTTTTTTTTTTTAAGTTTATAGATAAATTTGATTTTGAATAATCTAAAGAATAATATATACAAATTGATCTGCAAAAATCTTTCCAAATTTAGGATTTCGATAGTTTGTATATATATATATCTAATTAAAAAAAATTTGTAATATTTAGAGTACCTATATAAAAAATTATTAATTATAAAATGATATACAAATTTTTAAAAAAGGAAAAATATTTCTTTAAAAATAGTTATACTAATTTTCTGTTTTAGAAATAGCATATGATTTATTTACATTATAAAATAATGGTTAACAACTAGTATTTTAATTAAATAATAATCATATTTTTAAATAAAAATTATTATTAAAATTTTTATTAAATATGTATTAATAAAAAATAAAAAATATTTCAAAGTTTTAAATCAAATTTTTTATAATTTATTCAAATTAATTTAATATTTAATATTATTTAATTAAATTAAATAAAATTAATATTTAAATCAGTATATAAAATTTAGATCAAAAGTTATATAGACGCTTTATAGTAGAAAGTGAGAAAACTATTCAAAAATTTTTTTGAAGTTAATATTAAATCTGAATTTATTTTACTAAAAAAAAATATTTAGCTTGAAAAGTAAAAAAATTTTATTTGTAGTTCCCTTCCTTTTTACTGCAAAGCGTTTATATATACAATACTAAAATAGAAAATTAATGCATGTATTATATAATATTTATATTTATTTAATTTTAATAATTATTTATGTTGTATAATATGTGTATAAAAATTTAATATGCATATATATATATTATGTATATAGATTTTACACATTAATTTAAATTAATTTAATTAAATTTAATTAAATATTTAATTTTAAATTAATTTATAAAAATATTAATTAATATAAAATTATAAATAAATTATTATTAAAAAATTTTAATATATTTAAAAGTTTATAAAATAATTATTTATTATAAAATTATTATTTAATTATTAATTATAAAAAAAAATAATAAAAAATTAGTTAAATAAATTAAAAATAAAATTTATATTAAAATAATTTAAAGTTTAAAATTAATTAGTTAATTAATTAATTTAAATAGTTATATTAAATAATTGATTTTATTTTGATCAAAATTTAATTTTGATTAAAATAAAGACTTTATAATTAAATAATTAAAAAAACTTAGTTAACCTTTTCTAAATGCATCCTTTCTAAATATATATACTATATATTTTTTCTCTAAATGTATACTCTCATTCAGTCTCAAGCATATAGAATTTATATAAAAATTTTCTCTTTAAATGTATATTCTCTTTAAATGCATATTTTTTAAAATTTTCACTATGGTTCTGAGGAGATACATTTAGAGAGGGTTGACTGTATATAATTTAAAATTTTATTTTTATTTATTTATTAGTTTAAAAATTATTTTAATATTTAAAAATAAAAATTTACTATATAAAAAAAATAAAAGTAATTTATAATATTTAAAAATTATAATTTAAAATATAATTAAATTTATAATATAAAATTTAAAAATTAAAACATAAATTTTACAATATATTTAAGATAAATAATAAATAATAATAATTTTTCAAATAAAAAAGTAAATTTATTAATAAAATAAAAGATAAATTAATTAAATTAAATATTAAAAAAATATTTATTATTTTTGATTAATAATGAATCTAATAATAATAACTATTATATCTAATAATTTACTAAAAGGATTAATAAAATAGCTTTGTAATATAATATTAAATGTTAAATTTTATTAATTATTACAATATTATTATATATAACAGATTGTTATAAATATATTTATTTATAATATTTAAAATATTATAAATCAAAAAATTATATTATTCTTTTTATAAAATTGTTATATACATATATTATATAATTAATAAAAAAAATATAAAATGTTTGCTAATATTAAATTTTTAAAAATAAAATAAGTAAAACTTATATAATTTTTTTTTAAAATAATATTTTAATATAAAATTTAAAATTAATATTCAAGTAAGTTTATTTAAAAATACTTTAAACTTATTTATAACTTAAATTATATAAGTCAGTTTTAAATATTTTAGAAAAGAAAAACTATACTACAAGAATTTTTTATGATAATATAAATAAAGGAAATTTCTAATTATTACCATATATTTATTAATAAATTGGTCCTTAAACTACCTTAGAATCATATAAGAATAATTAAAAGATGATCATCATAATTTTCTTTCATAAATAATTAAAATAAAAAGGATTATAAAAATTAATTATAATAATGAGCTTATTTAAGAAATCACCAAAGCAAAATTAAAATTATGAAACATAAGAATTAACTTATATAATTGGTTATTGGATAAGAATAAATTTTTAATTTGAAAAAGTAGTACAATTATAGGCGATTGAATTTTTTTATTATAACCTATTATTAAATTAAAATTTAAACAACTTAAATAAATTAAATCGATATTTATTAAAAGATTTGTTAAAGTTAATACCTTGATCAAATAAATGAATTTGAGAATTAATAATAAAATCACATCACAGAAAATTGGCAAAAAAAAAAAACAAAATCACATTTTCGATCCCAAAGAAATCCATGTTCGTATCATCTTAAAAAAGAAATCATAATAAATTGAATAAATGATGATGCGATGACAATTAAACACAGCAAGTTCAAGCAACGATTTTAATTCAATAAAAAATAAATATACACAAATTACACAATTACATAATTTTAATTGTGAAACATCAAATTTTGAAAATAATTTTTTTTTTTTATTCCATTTACATTCTGTTAAATCTCTCTATTCTATAGGTGAAAGTGTTAACAGAAGTATTGGGAATGATCTTTATTAATACGCAAATGGTAGAGAGAAATGAAAAGAAAATAATAAGAATTTTTTTTTTTTTAAAAAAAAAAAAAATTTATGATCTTTCCCTATATACAGCAATTATAATTGATAAAGTAAATATATATAATTTTTTTTTTTTTTCACCGACCCATGTATTAAAAATCAAGCAAAGCAGAATTTCGCCTTTTTATTAGAATAAACGATAAAAGGATCCTTGAATATATGCAGACGGACAAAGAAATGCGTTTATCCACCGAAACCGTAAAGAGTACGTCCTTGTCGTTTAAGCGCGTATACTATTGATAAAAATGAAAAAAAAATCAATGATCAATAATTTTCTTGAAGAGAACACAAACCGATATATATAAAGCAAATAAATATAAGCCACAAAGAAATATTTACCAACGTCAAGAGACGTGACGGTCTTACGCTTGGCGTGTTCTGTATAGGTAACAGCGTCCTTTATGGGAAAGAAGAAAATTTATCAATATAGATTCATACTACAAAACCTTTAGAAAAGAAAGATTACTCTTTACTCTTTATTATAAATATATATCTATATACATACTCGAATAACGTTTTCAAGGAACACTTTCAAGACACCCCGAGTTTCTTCGTAGATGAGACCCGAGATACGTTTTACTCCACCACGACGAGCAAGACGACGGATGGCAGGTTTGGTGATACCCTGAATGTTGTCACGAAGGATTTTGCGATGGCGCTTAGCGCCTCCTTTTCCAAGACCTTTACCTCCTTTACCACGACCAGTCATTATTGATATTTATTTTAATTCTTTTTAAAGAGTTTTGAGTTAAAAAAAGAGGTTTTTACTTTAACAAAATGTACCGGATACTGAAAATTTTTTTTTTTTTTTTTTTCCCAAAGACGAAAAGATATTTTAGTTGGAAAACCTCCTAAGAACGACTACTCAATATATATATATCCAAGCCTGCAAGCCGGAACTGATTAAGGGCTTATTGAAATTTGCTTAGTGAATAAGTTTAAAAAAAAGTTTCACTACAAAAAGGATTTCTGGAAACTTCAATGGGTTCTATAAAATCTCGTGTTTAATCCATAGGTCGGAGGCATAGCGATAATGTGTTGATATGTTCCGAGCTGTCACGCGAGCAAAATAAAGGAGATCGGATTCATTACATGTTGAAATACCATCATAATAAACAATATGAAATGTAATTTTTGTTTACATAATATAATATTTTTAAATAAGCCAAATAAGCCCCAAATTGTCATCCCAAGCTTAGTTAATTGTTATTTATGTACGACATAATCAGCTGTAAAAATCGGAAAGAACCGTAACGGTTTTTTTGCCGGAACAAATATTTTTGGTTAAAATTATGATTTTATGATTATGATTGATAATATGATAACATTGGACATGCAAAAAATAGGACAAAGAAATAAAATATTACATTTATTGGATTACATAAATAAATTAAAATAGGACTTTAATATTGATAGTGCATTAAGATTATCCGATAAATGTTCGATAAATTAGAAACCCATCGGCAATTTTTCCGATAAATACCCCCGATTTGAACTCTTTCCATCAATGGAAGTTGTCATGAACAAACTGAAAATTGTTGTATGCAAAAATAACATAATAGGGTCCAAACTAACCAACGTATAAATTTAAAACCCGTGTAACTAATATATAATGAACGTATGATGTCTAAAAGAGGAATACGAAGAAGTGCAAAAATTTTTTTTTTTTTTTGTAATAAAAATTAAGAAGACCCTTTTTCTACCTTTAGTTTCGCTGATCCTGCCTGAAAATACCCGTGTAACTTTTATAAATCAAGATCATTTACTTAAACGAACCTTATTCAACATTACAAATTCACAAACGCGTTATAAGAATTGATCGTTGATTTTATAGTGTTACTTTTATGAAATATCTCATTAAATTTTATTTTTAAAGATGCTAATGGTGCTTTGTTGAGAATATCCAACATGGATGGTGTAAATCTATGAATTACAAGAATAATTTAAATCGTGGAATATTATTAGATCAATTCACTCAAGAAACAAATAAATAGTAATAATGGAGATTAATAATTAGAATGGATACCTTTTGATAGTATATTTTAAAGGTATAAAAAAAAATATTGCTGCAGGAGGGGTTGACAAGTAATTTGTCCCAAATGTAATTAGAAAATTTTTAAAGTTGTATTAAAAAAGTATTTATCATTCAAAAAAAAAAATAACTCTCGAATTCCGTCAAGAGGTAAATTAATTTAAAATCTCGAAAACACAATGGAAGATATTCTTTTATCAAAAATTAATTCATATCAAGACAATTCAATGATACGAAGAAAGGTTCATTCAAATGCCGTTATGTTACATGTGCTGTCTGGATTAATCGAAATTAATTACTCCTTAAAATATTTAATCTTATTTATTATTAATCTAAGGGCAACTTTTTTTATTTATATAATACTTTATTTGTCTAGCTTATAAATTATTTCACTACCAAATTCAAACTATTAGAATCCGATCCTTTTTGAATTGATTTTTTAAATAATTTATTTTAATTAAATACTTTTTTTTTTAATTTGTTAAACAAATTCGCTTGCTAAAATATAAAAAATAAATAAATTACTTTTTTTATTTAATAAAATTAAATTTTAAGTTAAATTAAATAACTAAACTGTTTATTATATATTAAATTAAAAAATTAGTTTTTAGATAATACTTAAGTAATTTAGTAATTAAAAAATAAAAGTAATAATTTATTTAAAAGTTTTTAATCATATTTTTAAAAACTTTTAATTTAATAAAATTATTAAATTTAAATTAATATCAGTATTAAAATATATTTTGAAATATTTTCATATTAAAATTAATTAATTTTAATCAAATCAAAAATCTAAATATTAAAATATAATTTATTATCTTGGTATTTTAAAGTAAATTTTTTATATATAATATAATATTAAATATTTATCTAATTTAATAAATAAATTTTATATATTTAATTAAATATTATATATAAAGTAAGTATTATAAAGAGTTCAAATTATTTTCAAACCATTTATTTTTTATCATAAATAATATAAGTTTTATTAAAAACTATATTTTATTTAATAAGAAAAATATTAATATAATAAAATATTATTATAATTTTATAATATTTTTATTATTTAATACTTATTTTTGGTTATACTAGTATTAAAGAGATAATATACCATTTTTTATATAAATAAATAATATAAAAATCAATTATAATTTTTAAATTTTATATTTAATTTAAACTAAAATTCATTCTTGTTTATTTTATTTTAATCAATCTTATTAAAAAAAATACAAACTCTTATTTATTTTAAAATATATAAAATATAAATTTCTTTTTTTTTTAATACTTATTTATATATTTAAATCTAATAATAAATTAGAAATTTTAATTAAATAATTATTATACTAATTTTTTATAATTAATTTTAAAATATATTTTATTAATTAAAATAAAAAATCTAACATATATAAATAAATTAAAATTTAAATATTATTAATTAATTTAAAATAATTTATTTAGTATAATTAAATTTATATTTAAAATTTTTATATTTTTTAGTTGATAATAATTGAGTTTTTTTATAGATTACTAATTCTGAAAATAAACACTATGTGATATATATAAATTTATTAGTATATATGTGACTAATAATATAATAAATTCTATGTGACAAATAAATAAATTACTATAAATGAGTATGTCATAGGATGCTATTTTCAGGACTATACGGTATATAGTAAAAATTATAAGTTTAAATTTAACTAAAATATAAAATTATATAAGTCAGAATTATTAAATCCTTTAAAAAATATTTCTTCTTTATTTTAAATATTTAAAATAAATATTACTATTTATAATTAAATATCTTTTTTTAAATTCTAAAATTAACTTATAATATTTTATTTAAAAAAAAAAATTTATTTTTTTAATATTATATTTTTAAAAAAAAATAAATTGTTTTTTTTTAAATAATTTAAATTTTTTATTATTATTTATATAACAAATTTAATAAGTTATATTAAAAAAAATAAAATTTTAAATGTAAAAAAAATGATTAAAATTTATTTTTTAATTAAATTATTATTAAATTATTTTATCAATAATATATTACACTTTAATTTAAATGTGATATATTATTTAGATTAAATTATGATTACTATGTTATAACTTAATAATATAGATATAATTAGATTATCATAATATAATCTAACTATTACTTTATAATCTAATTACTATTTATAATCTAATATTTATAAACTAATTATTATAATATAACCTATTTTTATAATTTAAATAATCTAAATTTAATTTTTATATTTTTATTATTTATTATTAATTTTTTTTAGTATTTTAACTTTTTCTTTAATTCTTTTTTACTATACCTATTATATATGATAATAGTAAAATTACCATTTCATAATCTAATTACTATATTACTTTATAATCTAATTATATCATTTTTCTTTATTTTAAGTATTTTTGAGATTATTATTATAATCCTTATTATAAATATTTAATTTGATTTAAATTTATATTGATAGTTTTTATAATATTAATTATCTACCTTATTTTTATTACTTCTTTAATCCTTTTCTATTAAAGTAAATTTTGAAAATTTTTTTAATAATAATAACTTTATCTATCTTTTATTTATAAATATATAAAATGTAATAAAAAAGAAACCCAAGTTTTATTTATATTACTTAAAGATTCTTATATATTTTAAGAAAAGATGATTTAATATTTATATATATCTATATATTTACTATACTATATTTATTTAAAGCTATAATTAAATTAAGATAATCAATGATTTTAACATAATATTAAACAATAATAATATTTTATTTATTAAATTTCTTGATATTTTCTAATGTTTATATAATTTAAAAGAGAATAATAGATTATAATAAATTTTCTTTTTATTATTTAATTGTCTTAAGTAAAATAAAAGATTATATATAATTATGAATCTTAATAATATATTAGATTATATAATAAATTCTAATTGTTTACATATATTATATTACTAAAATTTTATGTTATATTGATAAATAAAAATTTATGATATATTGATAACTAAGAATTAAATACTATAAGTAGTATTATAAGTATTATAATATTATAAAATATATTGTTAAAAAAATTAAAATTTTTGAAAAAATAATGAAAGTTTTTGTAAAAAATACTAGTTAGATTTTATAAAAAAATTGATATTTAGTTAAATATTATAAAAATCAAAAAATAATATATATATTTTAAAATATTAAATATAATATAATTGTTTTAAATCAAAATTTTATTTTTTATTTTTAGTTTTTATTATTAGATCTAATAATTTTTTATATTTAGCTTGGTATTATAAAAACTAAATAATTCTCTTTATCTAATCTTTCTTATATTCTTTTACTTTTCTTAATATGTTAAAATTTTTTAAGTTAAATAGTTTAAAAAGAATATTTTTAAGAATATATATTTAAAAAATTATTATAAAAGAAAGACTTGTAATTAAGATTACTAGATAAAATCTAAAGGTTTTACAAGTCATCTAAATGGAAAAAGGTAAAATTTAGCAAATTATATTAAAACTTTATTAAAACATCTGCAAAATTCTGAAAAAGTAAAACTATATTAAAGCTTATAAAAATGCGAAACTATATTAAAACCTTAGTAAAAAATTATTAAAATTATAATTTAGATATTTTATCAAATTTAAAATAAATTTAGACAAGCAACTT